GTGGACCGGCATTTGGCAGTGAGTTCAGTGAGCTATTAATATCAGATAATGCAAACACAAGATCTAGTCGAGGCCGTCCCGGAAACGCCTATCAGTCTCCTTCGGGCACGTTCTTCACTGGTGCCGAGTATTTCACTGTTACAGATTACGAGGTGTTCGGACTCCGCCAGTGACAAATACCAAGCAGGTGAAATAAACTCTTACAACTAAAATACTCCATGCTTTTTTTCAAATATTATAACGCTTACAAAGGTATTTAATGCCTCATTAGGGGTGCTAGGTACTTAGGAGAAATATGTTACTTTGATATTGTTGGGCTTTAATTTAAGAGAAGGGCCTTGAAAGTAAGGCCAAATCAGAGCGGTAAGTAAATAAACGAACTTGGATTAATTTTTTTTAAATAAGAGCTGATTTGAGTGTATTTTAAAGGTTCTCAGAAAAAAATGTTTTCTTCACCTTGACTAGTCTCCCAGAGAGCGCCTATTTGTCGTAAAAACCTCACCAATCTCTCTCTAACTGCTTATCCTAATGGACGTCGCTTCTTCGACCGCTCGGCGGAAACGACATCTGTCAAGTTCCCAATGTCCAGCTTCTGTTATTCTGTCGAAGGCATCCTGTATGTCCCTTTCCCACTGCCTTCTTGGTCTTCCTCCTTCTCTTTTCCCATCTATCTTTCCCATCTTCCCCAACTTCTCTCATGATGTCTTCTGTATAAACATTGAGCAAAAACGGTACAGATACATCCCTGTCTGACGCCTCGTTTAATTTTGAACCATTCTGTGATTCCGCAATTGGTGCGTATTGCTGCTTCCTGACCCTTGCAGAGTTCCTTAATCAGGATTTATATTATCTCTCTCTACGGAAACCCCATTTTAATTAAAGTCGCCCAAAGTTGAGAGTGCGATACACAGTCAAACGCCTTTGAATGGTCTTTAAGACACATACACAAATCTTTATTAAATTCTCTGCACTTCTGGTTTATCGTTGGCAACATGATCCCTGGTGCCTGAACTTTTTCTGAAACCTGCCTGTGTTGCACTCACTTCTTCTCCAAGTTTTGATTCTAGTCTCTTTTGGATTATTTTAAACATGATTTTACTTGCGTGGCTAATTAGGGAAACTGTGCAATAATTGCTGCGGTCCTTCAATTTTCCTTTTTTAGGTATTGGAGTGAAGATCGATCTTTTCAGCAATTCTTGCGGCCACTTCCCCTGGTGCCAAATTTTCTTACATATTTAAGCAATATCAACGTTTTTCGTGTTTGCCTAGCCTGATATAAGCACAAGATTGGTTGAGAGAATTCGAGACAGTTATGCAAACCCGAAGCGAAGTCGAGCGTTGCATAACTGTCGAGAATTTTCCCAACCCTCGAGTATTTATATCAGGAAAAAAGTTTTCTATTGCTTTTATAAAATAACTTTCCCGAGAAAAAAAACCAAAACTCCCTTGTTTAAAGCATTGACTAAAAGAGAAATTCTTACCAGTCGCGAGGTCTTGTACGCGAAGAAGGTACGCGAAATCAGTCTTTGTTTTGCAAAAAAAATGTTTCCAAAATACGGATTTTTCTAGCTTAAATGTCAGCTCAAGCGAAAAAATAATTGACACAGCATGTTTCTAAAGATCTTTCAAGTTTCAACCGACGAGGAAATGGATAAATAAAGTAAACTTGTCGAGTTTTTCAACTCAAAACCTTTTTCAAATTCGTGCTTGCGTGATTAGCGCGCGAAAAGCAAAACATCTTGACGTCACAACCATGTTTAGATACTCTCATGCAAACACGCCTCTCGGCCAATCAGAGTGCGCGTACTATCTTAGTTATTTTAATGGTGGTAGAAATCAATCCCCGGTTCTCCATTTGCTTTGATCATCTGTGCTGTGATGAGATCACAACCTGGTGACTTCCCTCCCAACTTTGAGTTTTTTAATTGCCAATTCTACCTCCTCTCTCAGCGGCTCCCTACTTTTCAGATCTTCCACAAGCTCAACTTTTAATTCCTTCTTCGTGTCTTCAGCGCATTTATACATATCCTCACAATATTTAGCCTGTTCACAGACCCTCTATTTTCTCTTCAAAACCAGTCGAGCGCGCGTGATAAAAAACAAAAACCGCGGGGGATTTACTGACCGCCAGTGCAAGGGGTAGGGGTGGGGGAAGAAGACGCGCTTCGCGCTAGCTCTCGCTCGCTTCGCTTAGGCGCTCGCCGATGTTTTTGAATAGAACGAAAAGAAAAAGACAAATAAAACAACTTCTGTGTACAGGCTACACAAAATTCTTTCCACCTTAGTTTAATGTCCTCATTCTCTGGAAGGATAGTCTCGTTCTTATCTTTTTGCTGCGGAGCGACCGTAGGGAGCGAGCAGTAACGTAATCAGGATTTAAGGGAAATATATAAGGGGCGACGAATTCTCGAATTCATCACTTTTTACCACAATGCATTGCATTTAACCACACCTTTTACCACAATGCATTGCATTTAACCA